GAGGGAGAAAAGAGGGGGTGTGGAGGCGATGGATGTTGTGTGCTTCCCTCACGGCAGGTACTGAGTCGTCAGATGCGCCTGCTGGGGTGTGTGTGGGCCTGGGTCAGCGTCTGAGGCAGGACAGGTGTGCTGGGGTCGTCAGAATGTGGTGCGTGGGGCAGGAAGAGGGCGATGTCTGCTTGAAGACTGGGGCGTGATCAGTGTCTCCTCCATCCTGTGTGGTGCTAATCTCGGGGAGTCACCATTGTGGGTATCGAGATATAATGTTGTCTAGCACTCAGGATGGAAAACTCTAATGTGGTTTTCTTGTATAATATAAGATATATGATAGACAGTGCTGGAGTGCAGAATGAGGGTTGGTTGGTGAGAGCTCAGGGACGGCCTGGTGGGTCGCCATGCTCGCTGGGGCGAGAGAACGCCAGGCAGGTGAGATACGGGCTGCCAGGCAGCGGCGGAGGAGGAGGTGTTGCTTGTTCAGAAGAATGGTCAGAATGAATCTCAATGGAGAGACCAGAGCTTATATACCCAGCTGCAGCCGCTATGAGTCATGTTGGAAAAACCCAGAAAGTCGCGGTGAATAGTTTCGTTGCTGAAAGGCAGCATGTTGTGGGAATGTGATGGCAGGTGGTGGGCTGCTATGCAGTTTGTAGGGGAGACGTCCACTACAAGGGACACCGGCAGAGGACGCCAGGGCGCTGTGGCGGGGGCGGCAGCCACCAGGCTGGTGTGGAGATGGTGTTGCTTGAAGGTGGCAGTGGGTAGAAAGAGGGGGTGTGGTCATAGTGTAAGCGGGCAGGTGTGTAAGACCGTGGTCATTACAATAGCGATGTCAGGTCTTATAAGGCAGGGGTAGGCGTGGGTGGATAGTTGACCCCCGCTCCGTGGGCGGCGCTGGAGACATAGTCTGGGGAATTCGAGAAGGTTCGGTGCTTGTAGGGGAGGAATCCACTACAAACCAAACATCTCGTACCCCACAGTGTCTTTATGAAAATGATTTTCGTCACTATAAAAATTTCCATTTGGGTTAGGCATATACTTGAGGTTTTCTCTTTAGAATATATTTATCTCGTAATAATTCAAAACGATTTTTTTTGCAGCAGTCAGTTCAAAAGAAAACAAATTTAGCGGTTTTGGGGAACCAGTCTAGCGAGAACTTAGATTTCCATTTGGCAACACTGATCATCTGATAAGTGACAATCTAACAGCATACTGATTACTGATAATCTCAGGGTCGGACATTCTGGCTCCAGAGTCCAGACGCAGACGGGATGATAGCATTACAGACTTAAACAAGTGTAAGCAGAATACAGGTATTTAGTCGAGTCTAAGGTATCCCTGTTCAAAAAAAGGTCAAATTATAATATTACACCGGTTTTTATTTCGATATTGAAATTAGGTTTTTCCTATGTATTTTGATGAGTTTCGAATGAATTTGATATTCATTTTCACTGGAAATCGCGTGTTTTTTAGACCACCCCAATCAAAACGGAAAACTTAGATTTCTTTTTTAGAATAAATTACAAATTATATTACCAACCAACCAAGAAAACCTAACCCCGTTGTTCATGCCCCAGACGCTAAAGGCGAAGATGGAGGGCCTGTTTGGAGCGATTCGTGAGCAGGGGGTCAGACCACCTTCGCCAAATCATGGCTACACTTGTGACTGAACAAAAGTAATAATCTTGAAAAATTAATATCTCAGTTATCCTTAATTTCAGGTGGAAATATCATCAAGAAAAATGTCTTAGAATTGTGTAAACATTACAAGATACATATTTTTAATACGAAAATAAAGACCGGTGTGATACTATAAATTCACCCAGAAAAAGTCTCTGGTAATTATTTGACTTCACAGCCGCTGATTTTTCATAAAAAGCGAATTAAAAAAAGCTGCAATTTTACTTTTTATAGTGGAGACTGTCGTTGTTATGGCAAATGGTTATTATTGTCGTTTTGGTCATCCAGCGAATTTTAGGATTTTAAGTTTTTAAATCGGTAGTTTCGACAATAATAGGGTACGTCGGCTGAGTGGATACTGTGGGGTATGAAATTGTTTGGTTCACACTCAGGATGGGATGGAGAAAGGAAACTCACAATGCGCTCCCCGCACACATGCTGCATCGGACGCACAGTGCAGCCTGGCGCCGGGAAGTGGCAGCGCGGCCACAAGCGCGATGCAGAGAAAGCCGGCCGGTGAGGGCGCCCAGAGGAGGACAGCCTGCAGGTCGCCACGCTCCCCGGCGGGAGCGAGGACCGCCAGGCAGGCGGAGGTGTTGCTGGCTGGTTGGTGTAGGTAGAAAGAGAGACAGATCACCACGAGGTCAGGTCTTAAATAGCGGGGGTAGGCGTGGCTTAGCAGTTGACCCCCGCTCCGTGGTGTATGGCGGCGCTGGTTGACCTAGACCACGAGGCATACACTTGGGAATTGGTGGGGTCGGCTAGGCAGCGACAAACAGCGTTTGTAGGGGAGAATTCCACTACAGTACTCCCCCTTCCCTCCAGGCGGTGTAGGAGACTTGTTGTCTGCAGAGTTGCTTAGCACATGCGAGGCAGAACGGGCGGTGCGTGCCTCATGTGATACAACGGCGATGGCATGATGAGCCGGTCGCTGGAGACAACTGTCTAGATACACAATATCTGTGGGAGTAGAGAGGGAGAATAAGGGTGTGTGGAGGCGATGAATGTTGTGCTTCCCTCACGGCAGGTACAGAGTCGACAGATGCGCCTGCTGGGGTGTGTGGACCTGGGTCAGGAGCAGGGGCTGTGTCAGCAGCAGCGGATGAGGGCTCGTGACAGCAGCTGGGTCCACAACAGCAGCAGGGTGCAGGACATTAGCAGGGAGTACCTGAGGGAGAAAAGAGGGGTGTGTGGCTCCGCACTCAGGAACAGAGGCCGCATCAGGGGCGGCAGGGGTTACTGCTGGGCCGGGGTCGGCATCTGAGGCAGGACGGGTGTGCTGGGGTCGGTAGGACGTGGTGCTTGGGGCAGGAAGAGGAGCTGGTGTCTGCTTAGAGTAGCAGAGCTGCTCTAGGGTGTCTAACCTGCGGTGAAGAAACAATAGTTGTAGAGCCGATGAGAGCTGCTTCTGTGTGGATAAGCCAGTCTTCCATGTTGCTTGAAGACTGGGAGCGTGATCAGTTTCTCCTCCATCCTGTGTGAGTGCGAATCTCCGGGAGTCACCATTTGTGGGGTATGAAATTGTTTGGTTCACACTCAGGATGGGATGGAGAAAGGAAACTCACAATGCGCTCCCCGCACACATGCTGCATCGGACGCACAGTGCAGCCTGGCGCCGGGAAGTGGCAGCGCGGCCACAAGCGCGATGCAGAGAAAGCCGGCCGGTGAGGGCGCCCAGAGGAGGACAGCCTGCAGGTCGCCACGCTCCCCGGCGGGAGCGAGGACCGCCAGGCAGGCGGAGGTGTTGCTGGCTGGTTGGTGTAGGTAGAAAGAGAGACAGATCACCACGAGGTCAGGTCTTAAATAGCGGGGGTAGGCGTGGCTTAGCAGTTGACCCCCGCTCCGTGGTGTATGGCGGCGCTGGTTGACCTAGACCACGAGGCATACACTTGGGAATTGGTGGGGTCGGCTAGGCAGCGACAAACAGCGTTTGTAGGGGAGAATTCCACTACAATACAACACTCGCCTCGTGTCCTAAGGGTTGCTAGTACGATCCCGAGACACTTGCATTTTTCACAATTGCAGGGTCTCAATTGTTTCTCATTCCATTGACAACACAACATACATATATCGTTTCTCACTTTTGATCTTTTTTTCATTTTTGTATTTATAGTTCTTTATTATTAAAATTATTATTATTATTACAGTTACTGTATTATTATCATCATTATCTTATTATTTAATATTTGTTTGTTTAATCATAAATTTTATTTATTATGAATTATTATGACTATTATTTATTATTATTATTATTATTATTATTATTATTATTATTATTATTATTATTATTGTTATTGTTATTATTATTATTATTATTATTATTATTATTATTATTATTATTGTTATTGTTATTGTTCTTATTATTTTTATTATTATTATTATTATTATTATTATTATTATTATTATTATTATTATTATTATTACTACTATTATTATTATTACATTTTCGCCCCCCAGGCCGCGATGTGGGTCAGTGACCTGTGTCCGGGTGGGCTAATCCCCGTAAAAAAAACTAAAAAAAAACTTTATAACGTTTCCGTCGGAAATTTATTTTTTTCAAGTATTTTAGTCGATAAAATGTTCAACTATTACTCTTTTAAAGTGGACAGAGCTTTGAAGTAGAGGGAAAATGTGGGGGTAAAATACAAAATATAAGGTTAATGTGTAGGACCTACACTGTAGGTTAATGCTGCCCACGATTCTAGCAAGAACACACTGCTTTTCCACCATAATTTTTTTGTTAATTGCTAGTGACAGCGTTCTCTTTTGGGGAAGTGTTTCTTTTTTTTAAATTTATACTATAATACCGCATGCACGTTTAAAAGGAACTTTGCCCTGTTATGGAGTTGGGTAAGGTTACGTTAGGTTAAATAAGGGTAAGTTAAATACTGACTACATTACATATCCACTCAGGGAAGGGGGGGGGTAGGTTAGGTTAGGTTAGTGTTTCTTTTGTGTACATAAAAGCAGCAAAAAAAATGCCTGCATAAATTTTGCTCTTTTATTTATTGGAGGATGTTGGTTTCTCTGGAAAAGCTAAAAAAAAACACGAATGTTTGACCATGATTGAAAAATAGCAGTTTTTTTGTTTTATCCCCAGAAAAAAAACTATCTCCAATAAAAAAAACATCAGCAAAATTCATGCAGGAAAAAAAATGTTTAGTTTTGGCGAAATCATTAGCAGCACTTGGTTTTATCCTCTTCACCACTGATCTGCTCGTTAGCCGCCCGGGCGATCGGTTACGTCTCTGTCACACTGTTGGCAAATGCTGAGCATGCACCGGCTCCTGAATGTACCTGAACCCGCTCCAGTGTTGGTCAATTCTTGTCTTGAAAGAGCTCACACTCGGTGCCGTCACAACACTTTCTGGTAGATTGTTCCAAGAGTTTACAACCCTCACTCCGAAAAAGTTTGCCCTCACAGATTTCTGGACTTGCGACTGCATTCTTGAGCTGTGACCTCTTGTGGGGCGAGCACCCCTGCCAGCTCCAAGTAAGGACATTCGTCTGAGTAGTGTTCCCTGAGATGCTTATACACCTCAACTAGGTCACCCTTTGCCCGTCTGTAATATAAGCTAGGCAAGTTCAGGCGCTCAATCTCTCAGGGTAGCTGAGGTGCCGAACTGCTTAAAACGTTTACCAAATATAACACCAAACAAACCCTTGAAACCCTTACATAACCTTTCCTATCTTGTATAAATGTTAAGAATCACTTTCGAGCTTATGGATCCCGTCTCATCTGAAAACAGTCCAACACATACTGTAAACCGAAAACAACACCATTACCTCTTGAACATTGAAAACAGTAATAAGGAAAACTTTATAATTTTGGGATATTTAAGAGTTAGGAAATGTTAGGTCATGTTTTCCAAACCTTTTCATAGTGATCTTTTAGTACTTTCTCCACATTTTCCCTCTACTTCAAAGTCTTGTCGACTTTAAACAAGTAATGTTGTTGGTAATTTTATCGATTAAAGTACTCGAAAAGTATAAATTTCTGATGGAAACGCTATGGAAGAAAAGTGTCAGAATTGTGTAAACTACTGAGGTAAATATTCGTCCATTGGCTGTCTTCAGGTTTTGAGGTACGAGAATATGTATACAGTATATATTTTTTTGTGTGTGATTTACTCACATTTGACATTCATTTATTTTGCAAATTAGCGGTTTTTGCAAAAAAATAAAATTTTCATTTTTAACAAACTAATAATTTACACAAAAAATGGGGGTCAAATTTGAGTAAAACACACCAAACTACACAAAAAACTATACTCATATCAAAGGAACCAACCAACCAACCTACCTAACCTATCCTAACCTACAAGGAGGAGACAACTGACTCTTAAGTGAGGTAATTGTAGTGGATTCCTCCCCTACAGTATAACCTCAGGTAAACATGGCGGGAACCTGTGGACAGCCAATGGACGAATATTAACCACTATTGATTCCAAAACTTAAATTTGCTAGATGACCGGAATGATAATTTTACTGGTAAATGTTTTAAAAAGTGTTTATTTAAAAGTTAAAGTTAATGTAACCTAATTTACCTTAACCTAAACTAACCTAACCTAACAACTGAGCATAACTTAACACCTGCCGTGGGCGAACTTACTGTTACTAAGGCGGGGGAAGCGGCTGTGAAGTCCTCCATATTAGCAGTCAATTTAGAGTACAGGATAATAATTCTATATTGAGTATTTTTGTTCCTAATAATAAGTTCACTTTTACTTTTTACTTTATCGTCTTCACCACTGATCGGTTCGTTAGCAGCTTGGGCGGTTGGTCACATCTCTCTTAGGCACTCTTGGTGAGTATTGGGCATGAATTGACTCGGACAAAAACAAAGTGATTTTCATCAATGACACTGGTGTTATTTCAGTTTCGTACAACCATGGAATCCAGGATTTTTAAAACATGTATTAGATATATCTCATCATTGTGAGTAACTTTCATTCTATATACTTCCATTGCAATTGAATAATTATCCTGTTATTGAATTTTTTAAATCCTAGACAATATTTATCACAAAACATCCAAGAAAATTTATAGGGCTTTGAAGTAGAGGGAAAATGAGGGGTAAAATACTGAAAAGAATGCCAAACAAACCTTTGAAACCCTTACCTAACCTTTCCTAATTTATATATGAGAACACCACAACCAGCAGAAAGAACTGTACTCGATTTTGTTAATTTTTTCTGCAGATGTTCTTATCATTAATAGTAAGTATTTTAAGAGAGGTGACATGAACTAGAAACTCACATAACTTGACCTCACCAACCAAAGAAACCTACCTAACCTTACTTAACTTTCGAGCTAGGGTGCCCCGCCATATTAAACAGAAAGCACTTACTTTGATATTTGGTACCAATGGAAGCAAACTTTGTTGAAGTGCCGTAGTGTAATTTTACGTTTTTTTTTTTTTTTTTTTTTGAAGTTAGAGTATACTCGGTCCGACCGGGCCGATTGCAGACAAACAGAGCAGACTTCATGTGTGCACTCAGCAGATATTTTGGGAGGAGTATTTATGGTAAGCACAGGAATTAATTTCTTCACATACAGTAAAAGTCCAGAAATCCGGACCACCTGGGAATCCGGACTTTTCGAAAGCTAATTTTTTTTTTTTAGCTGGCTTTTGTGTGTATGTGCACATGCATGAGCGCCACAGCTGCACAGCGTCAACAAGCGACCACGCAGTCGCCACTTTAAAACGAGCAATCAAACTGTGACAACGTATGTTATTTTGAATCCTACTCTTTCCATTTACAGAGTACTGTACAAGCCCATAATAATGGCTCCTAAAGTAGATAAACTTCGTTGTGTGAAGAGAAAAAAGAACACGTTGAAATTGAGCGACAAACTTGAAATAATTAAGAAACTAGAACGTGGTGTGAGCAATACTTTTCTAATGGAAACATATGACATTGGAAAGTCTACAATTTATGATATAAAAAGGGCAAAGAATAAGATTCTAGAATTCACAGCTTTTTCTTTAAAACTGCTCATTTTGATAAATGAAGCATGCTATATTTGCTAATGAATAAACTATCAAAATGTACCTGTTCATCTCTTCTTTATTCCTCCTTAAATTTGAATTTTAAAAGTACTGCCTGAGAATCCGGAAAATCCGAAAATCCGGACCTACCCAATCCCCAAGCAGTCCGGATTTTTGGACTTCTACTGTACAAAGCACATTGAGACATCATTTTAGTGTCTGTGGATCAGTTTTTCACCGTATTTTACTCCTTAATTTCCCTCATCCAACCTTGCCCACGACTGGTGATTTATGATTGTAGATAGAAAAAAAATATTCAAATAAAAAGTTGTTGCTTCTTTTAAAATACTTACTCCAATGACAAGAAGATTTATGGAAAAAATGAACGAAATCAAACAACTTTTGGTGTTAGCCATCGGCTCCACCTCTACCAAAATATATTTTACTATTTTATGTTGGATTATACAGTACAGTACTGTATTTAGAAAATAATTTATAACCATTCTATGGTAAAGATTTAGAAGAGGGCAACCGCAGAAATTACTAATAAAACTGTGTTTTTCTAGTGTTTTTCATAAGTTTCAAATGGGCTTTTAAGGAGATATTCCCCCCCCCCCTCCACCACCAGTACCAACAATTTTGATTGTACAAAGTGGGCAGGGCTTTGAACTAGAGGGAAAATGTGAAGTAAAAGCACCCAAAAAACTTACTAAACCAAATGAAACTTAACCTAACCTAACTTTACCAAATTTAACCTTACCTTCCCTTGTTCTGGGGATTTTGATTTATTGAAAACCAACCATGTTTATCTTCATGATATTGGCAGTCTACACCACACTTTGGTCACTTTACAGAAGTTTGCAGAACACCATGGGACTTAAAAATGTCAGTAGCTACAGTGTTATTTACAAAAAACACTTTGAATGGTTTGCCAAACAGAGAAAGAACACCCTTCACACAGAGAAGCCATCTGGCGACTCAATCAATCAATCAGTACCATCTTCATATCTGGGGGTTGGTGACCATATTCCTCCACTCTAAACATCCTTGGACTATTTTTACCAATTTTCTAAGGTTTTGTATCTCTTTGGGAACCCACTTTTTAATATCAGTCAACGATCTCAGTCTCTACCTTCCCCTAGCCCACCTTACCCCCAACTTTGCCCTTTAATATTTCTGTTAGTTCCCCTCATCCCTAATTATATGACCAAAGTACGTAATGTATCTCAGTTTTCTTTTTCTGTACATTTCAAGTGTTTTTCTGGGAAGTCTTTTGCTAATCTTAGTACTTCTTCATTTATTTTCTTGTCAGTATAGCTGGTTCTTATCATTCGCCTATAACACCACATTTGAATAGCCTTCAACCTCTTTCTGGTGTCTGCTGAAAGTGTCCACACTTACACATAAGAACATAAGAAAATAAGGAGTCTGCACATAGCCGGTTGGCCTGTGCATGGCAGCTCCTGTCAAGAGTTACAACCACTCTCTATCGTCCATGAATCTATCTATATCCTCCTTTTAAAACTTTCCAGCATTCCAGCACTTACTACTAAGTTGCTAAGCTTGTTCCACTCATCTACCACCCTATTTATGAAACTCATCTACTACCATATTTATGACCCATACATCAGTCATTGTCAGATAAAGCATTTCAGCAGCCTTTTTCTCAAATTGAAGGTACTAATGACCCTTTTCAATAGGTTTTTTAGAGTATTAAATGCTGTTTTTGCTTGTTTTGATTTCTTCCATACATATACCATTACAGCAAATGTTATTTCCAAAATACACAAAATTTTCCACTTGTTTAAGTTGCTTGCCATAATTTTTATTTTAGGAATTATTTCAAATTTGGAAACAACCATTACTTTAGTCTTTACAGCATTAACTCTTAAGCCATATTTTTCACCTTTTTCAAGTGATTTAAAAATAAATCAATGGTGTATGTATTTTTACTATACCTAAAAGGCCACCAGCCACCACTACCTCACAGTATCCACCACCACCAGCCACCACATTCCTGTGACCACCAGCCACCTCTGCCTAACAGTACCACCATCACCACACTCCTGTGACCACCATCCACCACCACCTCACAGTATCCACTACCACCACCACATTCCCATGACCACCTGCCACCACTACCTCACACCATCCACACCCAATTGTGTGTGCATTTAACAAAGTAAAAGAAATTTAATACAAATACTTAAACGTACTCAAAATTACAAGTTGAAATGTAACAACAACACAACTCAAAGATTGGCCAAGTAGGGGGAGAGGTACGGTGATGTAGCGACAGTGGTTGGCAACCTGCCAAGTCCACACATACATGTTCATTACGTTGGGCTTCACTTAGGCCTACTTCAGACGAGCGTGTGTGAAACAGACCTTACGTTGGAGTATGAGAGCTGCAGCTAGCCCGCCCGGTTTGAAATATTACTGTAGGATATTGTAATTTTTAATTTACGAATGAGCAGGGTATGCTTTGGGATTATCGAATAAGGGTGTTAGAATATCAATTGCAGATAAGCGGGGTTGTGAATAGTGAGGTACAGGTATTCCTATCCGGTACAGTAGTTTATAAGAATCTCAAAGGGCAGTATACAGTAGTACTCAATTAAATGTACACATTTGGAGTTGATTCATGGCTGCCTCATTAGAGGTCACAGTCTCAAGTTAACGAAGTTATCAGTACATAAAATTGCCAGAGGTAATCTTTTCGGAATAAAAATTTTTAATCTTGGAATAACCTGCCAGAGAACATACATTATTAATGAAACTAAGGAATACTGCAAAATATGAGCAAAGCTTGAAAGCTGCTGATATGCAGTTCAGTACAGTAAAACCCCAATGCGGTAATTCGTACTCTTGTAATTCAAAATCACTCTTATTTCATAATGTGTTTCTGTTTCGAAATACACCTATATGTTACAAATTTCGTAATACCTTGGTAAAATTTTTAAATACGAGAAACATTTCGAAATATGATATACCGTACTGTATATTACAATTTTCATAATATTTAGTAAAATTTTGAATTATGAGATACAGTAGTACCCGCTTAACGCAAGCGGTCAATTGAACCCACAGGGTACCGTGTTAAGTGAAAACCGCGTTAAGTGAACAACAGAACATATGGGATTAATTCCAATAGAGACTGGCCCGACCCCCAAACTCTACTTTTTCCGACACAATACCTATGTTCTAGTAAAAATAACATCTTAATTTTATGATGGTACATGCACACAATTAATACTTAAGAGAAATACAGTCGCCAAGTTAATGTCCATTCAAATAATGGACTCAACTCCCTCCCCCTCTTCTCACACTACACTGCTGGCTCTTCCCTCTCTGAGAAATTTTGGGGGGAAAAACCACTGGATTTTAATAAATGTTACCTCAAACTAAAGTTAGGATAATATAATTGACATTGCTGGATTCCTTGTAAGACCAGGAATATTTTGAATATAAATGTCATATATTTTGCACAAAAGATAACATATTTACTCAGAGTAAACATTATATCTAAAATTTGTATGTCTAATGCAAAATCTATGATGTTTATATTCAAAATGATCATCAAATTGTAAGAATTCCAGCAATGTAAATTATATTCTGGCCGGGTAATTTGTATGAATTTTATGAGCTAAAACAAATATCTTCAGTTAATAAAAAAAAAATATTCTTCACGACACTATCTGTCAATCAAAGTACCCCACCTTGCCTCCCCCCTCTTCCAACCGCGCCAGATGGTCGGTCCGTCCCAACCCTCCCCCCCACCCCCCACCAACCCTCCCTACAAGAGAAATGTAGGGTGAAAAAACTAAATTTTAACATTTAGTAATAAAATATACCTCAGATTAAAGTTAGGATAATATAATTGACATTGCTGAATTCCTTGTAAGACCAGGAATATTTTGAATATAAATGTCATATATTTTGCACAAAAGATAACATATTTACTCAGAGTAAACATTATATCTAAAATTTGTATGTCTAATGCAAAATCTATGATGTTTATATTCAAAATGATCATCAAATTGTAAGAATTCCAGCAATGTAAATTATATTCTGGCCGGGTATTTTGTATGAATTTTATGAGCTAAAACAAATATCTTCAGTTAATAAAAAAATAAATAAATATTCTTCACACCATGCCAGATGGTCGGTCGGTCCCTCCCTTCCCCCCACCTCCCACCAACTCTTCCCTACCAGATGTGTGGGAAAACCAGAATATTTACCTTTTTTGTAATAAATAATACCTCAAACTAAAGTTAGGATAATATAATTGACATTGCTGGATTCCTTGTAAGACCAGGAATATTTTGAATATAAATGTCATATATTTTGCACAAAAGATAACATATTTACTCAGAGTAAACATTATATCTAAAATTTGTATGTCTAATGCAAAATCTTTGATGTTTATATTCAAAATGATCATCATATTGTAAGAATTCCAGCAATGTGAATTATATTCTGGCCGGGTAATTTGTATGAATTTTATGAGCTAAATAAAAAAAAAAAATTATACTTCACCGCGTATATGGGTAGATGAACCGAGTTAAGTGAAAGTTCGGTTCTGGCGAGGCACCGCGTATATGCGAAGTGAAACCAGTGAAACCACGTTAAGCGGGGTAATACTGTACTGTATTTGCGAATATGTTTGACGCATGTGTCGCCATTGGATGCAACCACCCACCTCAGTGGAGTGCACATCTATGGTCTACCATGCAAGCTTTTTCCACTTATTTTTCCATCATTGCCCAGAGTTTTTGCCATTATGTCTGATGACCCTAAATCTGGTACTGTACTTAGAAACGTTTAAATTTTGAATGGGGCAGATAATGGAAGAGTACTGTAGTTTTGTTTGTTTTCCCTCTGGGGAATGTGTTCCTCATAATTCGTAAAATCTCATACGTACTTAGTTCGGAAGGGCTAGAGCCCCAATTACTGTATTTAGAATTATGGGGATTTTACTGTATAATATACTAACCAAAGCAAACTAACATGTTAGTAAACCTCTCTAACCATCCATAAATTGAGGGAGATGACTAAAAACATAGGATGCCAAGTATGTATAATAATACAGCATCATTCTGTGAAGTGATGTTATGAAACACTTTACTGTTTACTTGAGGTGGTGGATGGATGTTGTCCAAGCACACTTAAATTAATATTGAGAAAAAAAAATATAAATGTGGGTTATTCATTAAAAGACAATGGATTTATATGCTACTGATAGACTCCTGGTTAAAAAAAATGGGGTAAACATTAGAACTAGAGCTGCAAAATTACTTGGACAAAACCAAAATTTCTTTTGGAGTGTCTTGAACCTACAGGTTTAAACCAGTAATAACAGCAGATGACACAGACTAAGCCAAAAGGTACTAGATTGCTTTATGCTTAGATTTGGTTTGTTTGGCTGATTCGTGTCAATCTGCTGTCATGAATGATTTTACCCCATAACCTAGCTACCTGAGGGAATGGCTGTAGACAAGTCCATAAAAGTTTCTTTGGGGATTTTAAATATTATTTTCACAAGTTTTGCAGGACTGTACGTATAGTTTTTTTTTACCTTCACTCACCACACTTACCATCCATGTGTTTACATAAATGCACCAGAAAAGAATCCCATAAAAAATAATGAGGAATAAAGTTATGACTCATGTTAATCATTTGTAGAATTTTTTTAACCTGTGCTAAGATTTGATATTCAAGTTTTTTCCAGAGAAGTTGAATACATAAAGGATTGGCACTCTGGACCTTCAAGTTAAACATATATTGGATATATCAAATACTGTACTGTACCATCAAAATCAACCATGCCCAATAAGGTATGATATCTATATTTATGATCCTTTTAAACCATTCATGAAAAATTAACATTCATAAGAGGGATTACCTGTGATGTAAAATTATGTAATGTGTACAGTATGTTGTAAATGTCATCTTGGACTGCCACTGATGAACACTGCAATATTGTCACTAAATTCTAATGATGTTTCATTTACCTGATTACTTACTGGGTAGGTTACATATATTCATGAATGTTTATCAATATTGAATCAGGTGGACAATTAGTGGCACTTCCTATATTCAGGGTTCTCTATAGTTGGTACTCTAGAAAACTAGGGGTAATATATAAGGGTGGCAGTGCATCCAACTGGATGAACTGTATGGTCAAACAACACAACAATTGATAAACATCAAAATCAAGTGAAACTTTTCCTATGAGCAGGGGGGTAAAATTGCATCCTGGATCTAACTACAGAGGCATGAAGCTTTCTTTGATTGTGTTGTATTCTGAACTCAGAGAGTCATTATTGTCTATTGACAAATGAATACCTGTTTTTAAATAAAAAAAATAAAAAATACTGAAAGGTCAAAATATTGAGTTGTGTATTTTACAGGAACCTGAGCTGGTAGTGACAGTGAAGGACAAGGTTCGCGTTCTCAGACTAAACCGTCCACACAAGAAAAATGCCATCAACGCAAATGTAAGTGTGTAACTTTATTATAAGACGCCTGGTGGTAAGAGAAGTTCGGTGATTTTCTAGATGTAGAATATACGACTGGTTGCAAAAATATCAATTTTTTTATTTTATTGTTTTGATTTTTTTTTTTTTTTTTTTTGTAAGGAAGGCCTTGGAGGTTCTAGTCTATTTAGAGAATTTTTTTTATTCACAATTGTTACTGTTGGGGAGTCTTCATTTCATTGCGTGAGAATCCATATTGAGTGAAGTCTAAGAGAAATATTCTGCATCTACGGTGATGTTTTAAATGTGAGAAGACACAATTTATAATATTTTCAGATTTAAGAGGATTTCATGATATGATCATATTCAGGCAATGACTGTTATACAATGGATCAATATGCTGTCAATCAGTTTTACGATGTAAAAAAGAATAATATCATTTACCACTGCGCGATGGCTAAAGATCAGTTTTATGATGGTCTCTACCTGAATGCTTTTCCTGCTGTGTCACTGCATGAAAAAGTGATGTACAATAACTCACAATATTCCAAGATATGATGATGCAATCTCGGAATGGCGTAACACGTGCAACTCACGTGGGAGGTTCTACCCGTCCCCTGTGAGTGCCAGGCTAAGCAGTTGAGTATTTCTTATCACCCAGAGGATGGTTTGCATGTAGAAGGAGTTATTCTTTGTACATAATAATACAGTAAACCCTCGAAAGTTTGGACCCTGTAAGTCTGGATTTTGGATAGTCTAGACCTTTTCTGGGCAAGAAACATTTGTCCAAACCCTTAAATAGTTTTTGTTTTAAACTCCTGCTGCTCGTGGTCATTAGAAATTCTCACCAGCCAGCAATCCCTTGGCCTCTTTCCTCCTCTCAGACCCGTGAGTGAGCAATTTATTACCCCACTCTTAGAATGGACTTACCCCTAATGCTGCACTGTGATTGGTTAGCTATAAGTACAACACACATTAAGTCCTTCTGTGAAGAAAGTGGAAGATTAATGTGTATTGCATCATCCATGTCACACACACACATACCTCGCATATTTTTTCTATTATTTAATATTTTATATTATTAATGATGAAACATACACCGTAAGAGGCTGAGATATAATGTATAAATAAAAACAAATGTGAGTGCTGCAACAGGGAAGAAATTACCTTTTGATACAGATTGTCAATTTATTTGAAGTCAAATTATAAACTGTACTGTATTGTATTTTTCTATTGTTTAATACTGTATGTGTTAGTAGGACCCAAGCCACATCACATACCTGCCAACAATGACTTTGTCACTTGTCATGACTCATACAGGTCTGCATTATGATCCCATTCTTGTTGCCGACGTTCTGGTAGAGAATCAGATACCCGGGCTGACTTATACATCCATGGTGTGGATTTTCTTGTTTATTGCACACACAGAGATAACTGCCAAAAGCAGCATCCAAAAAGTATAAGTACAGACACAAACTTGTTTACTTATAGTGTACAAGCGTCCAACAAAAAAGTATCATCTGAAGGCATTTAACATATAAAGTGAATAGGTTCCATTATAGCATCCAATCTTACAGATACTAATAGAAAAATTTCCTCTTTAATGGCAAACTAAAGATTCTCGATCATCCTAGCAAAGTGTGTTATTTGAATATACAGCCACTCCTCGACTTACGACGGGTTTAGGGACCCAAATCCAGGTCGTAAGTTGAAAATGCGAAGATAATACATAGAAAATCTAAAATGGGTGTCTCTTTTTCTTCTCAGCACCACAAAACTCTCACTTTTAAGCATGCCAGCCATTTTAAAGGGAATTACAAACAAAAATTTTGTCAGTACACAGCGCAATCACTAACGTCGGGACTTGAAAATATGTAATTTGAAAAAATTTTGGTACGACTGGGGCGGTCGTATGTCCAGGTGGTGGTAAGTCGAGTAGGTCGTAAGTCGAGTAGTTACTGTACAGTACTACAGTACAGGTATGTCATGTTATTTATGATGAAACATATGCCAGAATAGGCTGATCATACAAGAATACTGTATAATAATGAATAAATAAAAATAAACTTGCAGTCATGGCAATGGCTAGTACCCCCCCCCCCTTCCAGCACGTTTATACATCAAGTGTCATCTTGTACTTATTAGCTCTCGTTAGGCCTATATAAAATCTGTTAGACCACTGTACAGTACTATTCAACAATATAGTAGTGCAGTATTTATTTTAATAGTAAATAAGATAAATTCTATAAATAAATATATTATTTTTTAATGAACTGTCATTATACCATTGCATATATGGAGATGTATTCCAGGTGATGCATGTGAAGGGTGCAGGTATTAATAAACACAGGTAATTACATTAAAGTATCTTTACTAATTAATGAATGACAAATAAACACTATTGTTGTGTAGTGTAACGGGTGTGAGACGTAGTGCGTGGGTGGGAAGCGGGAGGCAATGGATATCATATGGCTTTGCTCTGGCTGATGCTAATCCATCTCTGCATCACGGAAATTATGATTTAGGTGATGATAATAGAGGTAGTGGGGATGATGGTGAGGGAGATTGTAGTAAGTGGTGGGCAGGTGATGCATCTATCAGTTTCTTAGGTAACACTACACCTGCAGCACTGCCAGATGCTATTGAACAGCTGATATCTAACCACAAAATTGAGTGTCAGTACAATATAAATGATCAATGTTGTATCCATTCAACATTACATTACATAACATTCTAAAATATGAGTGAGGAGGCAGAAAGGTGTGGGTGATTAGAGAGATGGATTGGAAAGAAGTGTTGTGCTCCTCAACAGCTGATCTTAAACCCGCCAGCACACAGTCACGTGCTTGTGCATCAGTTAACCACACACAAATTTATGTCACACAAAAAGACCTGCACTTAAATTTTTTTTTTTTTTTTATTGGGCACCCCCCTACATCCTGGTGTAAGGTGAAGCACAGAAGCATTTACAGCGCCCAACAGGGAAGCATGCTAAGTTCATGCTTGCCTTATGTCTCATGAGTTAAGGGCGTAGAAGCCTGAAGAGTCAATGGTTTATGTCTAAGCAAGTTATTGGAAGTTCCAACAACTTGTCCCTGAATACGAATTCGCAACTTTCGACTTACTGTAGGTACCTACTTTACTGCTAGGTGAACAGGGACGAAGGGGACTAGGAAGAGTGTCCAAACAACTTCCGCCGGCCCGGGAATCGAACCCGTGACATCTTGCTTTCGAGGCAAGAACGGTACCGCTCTACCACCAGCTCCCCAACCCACACTTAATATAATATAAAACAAAGCACTAAACCAGCAACATATCACAACAGTAGTTGTCACCCTTCACTCTGGAGGCAATGCTTTGTTAATTCCCGTGTTGGGGTGTGTGGGTGATGTTGGAGGGTGCACTTGTATGTGTGTGTGGATGGTGTTAGGGTGTGTGGGTGGTGTTGGGGTGTGCAGATTGGGACCTTTAAAATATAAATTTAAGAGTTCATCGGGGAGGTGGGGGGGGGGGGCTAGTGAGCTGCTGCGTAGTACACAGTGGTCCTCAGAACCCCCCTAAAAGTACTTGGAAGTCCGGACAATTGGTAAGTCCGTACTCCCTTTCCCCCAAACTGTCCAGACTTTCGAGGGTTTGCTGTATACACTATACAGTATATACAGTACTATACTAGTAAATGTGTGGAATAAATAAAAATTATAATAATAATAAATAAAAGAAATTAAAAGTACTATGTTGTCATTTGGCAATCTTGTCACTAGCACGATCTGTGATGAAACGCTGATCCGAGTCCCAGCTCCTCCACTCTTGTGATAGCTTCCACACACGTAATACAGAGTAAATGTTTAATTTCTTTGTTTTGACCTTATGATAATTAATTTTCTTTCATATTTTTGCACATTCTGTAAAGATGAGTGTGTACAGTACATATAACAGTGCAAAAAAGAATTGAAGAATACAGTACTGTATTACATTTATGTACCCAGAAATATGAGTTGAAAAATAACAGCAACACAGCTCACAGTTGGTGGGAGACTGAGATACTGTACTAACACTGCACCCCCTCCTGCTTACCCCTTCCCCTCGCACAATTCACGGGAGGATTTTAAAGTAAAGGAAAGTAGTACACTACTGTAATGTAATATGCAGTGAGTGATGGTGCAGTTCATGTTTGAAAGAAGAAGAATTCTTGTAATGCAAGGATTGATAGTATGTTCTCTTTCAGTTATATACAGGAATTGTCCAATCATTAGAGGAAGCTGCTGCTGATCCCAATACCCTGATTGTGGTTATGACTGGTACTGGTGATTACTTTACCTCCGGAAATGACCTCTCTGCATTATTGGAAGGTGTGAGGTAAGACTGAAATATTGATAATATTTTGTGTTGGGATGTTTTTGTTGTTTAACTTACATAGGCTCAATGTGGTACATACAAACACTCCTGCTACATAGATCTTTACTTTTATTATTGTACAGTACAGTATTACTGCTATACCGAAACACTCCTCAGATTCCAGTATTACCTCGCTATACTACTGAACAAATTCACTATACATATACTGTATCGAACCCTCAGCCAAACCCGTCCTCAGATATCTCAAATAATGTTTAAATACTGTACATTATTTGAGGATGGTTTGGTAGAGGGTTCGATACAGTATACAGTAAAACCTCGATAAATCGGACTTCATTATATCAGATTTTGCATTTTTACGGACTCTGAGGTACTCTGGTCACCAAAAAAAAAAAAAAAAAAAAAATGGGGAAGATAAAAAAAATCTTATGAAATGAACTACACTTACTGAATACTGTACAGTGGTCTAGTCAGATTTGCTATAGGCCTACTGAGAACTAAGATACTTGAGTATACTGTATAAGCAGGATGGGGCTGATCAGGTGTTGCCGTATATGTTGGGTTTATTTATTTATTTATTTGGTATTATATATTCTCACATGATTGGCCTCTTATGGTTTATGGTTAATCATAATTAATATAACATCTTCAGTAATAGGGAAAAATACAATACTGTATGTAATTTGTGATGTGACTTGAAGATAAAGGATACTCTGTATCAGAAGGTTATTTACTCAAGATGCATTCACAGTATCACACTGTATAATATTTGATAAGAAGATACCTTCGTAACAACATTATTTATTACCTTTGAGTGTTATATGATGGTCAATTTGACTACTTGTACACTTAGACAGATGATTAAGTGATGATAAATACACTACAGTAGTCTTTATTAAGTGGTGATAAATACACTACAATAGTATTTATTAAGTGATGATAAATACATGACTGTACAGCATGCCCTTCAAATTCATGGGGGTTAGATTCTCAAAAAGGCCGCGAAATGCCAAATCCTCGAATAACATTTGCTGACCAAGGGGGGGGGGGTAATTTTTACTTGTGTACAAAGAAATGTATATTCCCTTTTTGCCCATAGGACAATTATTTCTTTTACCTGTATTATATATGTGTGTTTATGTAGAAACACACACACACAAAACACATACAAATAATTAATAATGGGAAAATCCTCTCACAAATAATAATAAAATATTATTAAAAATGTTGAGTCTACCCTCAAGTCTACTCCATGCTCTGTTAATAGCAAAGCACGGAATGGAGTTGAGAGTAGACTCAACATTTTTAATAAATTTTTTCTGATTATTTGCGAGAGGATTTTGCCATTATTATTTATTTGCGAGAGGATTTTGCCATTATTATTTATTTGCATGTAAATAAATCACTGTAGGTATGCGTAATCCATGTATATATGCTAATAACCACATAGGAAACAAGAAAACATAAAGTTCCCAAGTGCTTTCATGTAATTCACATCTTCAGGGCTGAGTACAGACTAAGGAGTAATTATTGACAAGGCTAATACATACAGTAAAGAGTGAGATCAAGTCCCTAGGGACAGCAGGTGTCCACCATAATCAGGTCATAAGGTAGGGTGACCCAACCCTTTCACCTGGTTACAAATCTTCTTAATCACAAAATTGTCCATTTTGTACATACCATTACTGAAATTCATGTTGACAGATTCAGTATGTTTAATGTTCCTACTGACAATTGAATTACAACGTAATATTCAGGAGGCATTATCCCAGTCAATGCAATGCTATTATCTCTCATATGAATGAACAAAGCATTGGATTCCTGGCTTGTCCTAACACTATATTTATGCTGTTTAAGTCTAGTTATAAGATCTTTTCCCGGCTGGTCTAAGTAGAACATATTACATTCCTTACAAGGGACCTTGTAAATGCAGCCGCCTGCATTGTTGGGGGAGTTCTTAATTAACATTAGTTTTACAGTGCATGAGTTACTAAATGTTATAGTACTTATGTTCCAGGTTTTCAGTTGTAGAGGAATTTGAGATAATTTTTTTTTAAAGGTAATTCTAAGAGATTTTTATTGTCATAGGGAGGCTTAGGATCAGTTCTATAAAAAGATATCTTAGCGATGTTAGGGCATTTGTTTATGTATATATATATATATATATATATATATATATATATATATATATATATATATATATATATATATATATATATATATATATATATATATATATATATATATATATATATATATATATATATATATATATGATAAAATCATATACCTTATCGTATTCATTTTCCTGTGATTTATCAAGATTTATATATATGAAATATATATATATATATATATATATATATATATATATATATATATATATATATATATATATATATATATATATATATATATATATATATATATATATATATATATATATATATATATATATATATATATATATATATATATATATATATATATATATATACAGTATATATATAGTATATATATATATATATGTGAACCCTCACTTTACGCGGTCAATTGAACCCACGGAGGCCCGCGTAAAGCGAGAAACGCGTAAAGTGAACAATATAACATATGGGATTAAATGAAATAGAGACCGGCTGACCCCCAAACTCCACTTTTTCCGACACAATACCTATGTTCTAGTAAAAATGACATCTTAATTTTATGATGGTACATGCACACAATTAATACTTAAGAGAAATAGAGAAATACAGTCGCCAAGTTAATGTCCATTCAAATAATGGACTCAACTCCCTCACCCTCTTCTTACACTCCTGGCTCTTCCCTCTCTGAGAAATGTTTGGGGGAAAACCACTAGATTTTAAGGTACAGGTAGTTCTGCTATAACGCGATAATTGTGTTCTTGTAAAATATCATGTTATAGAAAATCGCGTAATAGAAATAACAGGGCTTATGGAGAAAATAGGGTTAGGTGCAGATTACTCGAAATCAAAAAAATTTAGTAGTTGGCCTAACACAAAGGATAGCACAGTCTAAATAAATGTTACATTCATATCTAATAATGAAATCATACAGTAAATTTAACACTTTACCTTGAAAAAATATGAATGTAACTTGATGGGGGAGCAGGGTGATTTTGAGGTTGATAACATCGAGCTTCTCTTCAAGTGTTATATCCTTTCTTTTACGATAATCACCGGGAATTCTATCATCAGAACGCTTTTTGGAGATATTCTTCTTTACCATATTCACAGTTAATACCACAAAATTGGAGAAATAGTAAGCAAAAATCGCGTTATAGCAAACAAGCGTTCGCGTTATACAAATATTGTTCCGAATTCATAAATCGCGTTAGAGCAAATTCGCGTTATCAAAACACGCGTTATAGCAGAACTCACTGTATAGTGATAAATAATCCCTCAAACTAAAGTTAGGATAATATAATAGTCATTGCTGGATTCCTTGTAAGACCAGGAATATTTTGAATATAAATGTCATATTTTTTGCACAAAAGATAACATATTTACTCAGAGCAAACAAAATACTTAGAGTAGATCTAAAATTTGTATGTCTAATGCAAAATCTATGATGTTTATATTCAAAATGATCATCAAATTGTAAGAATTCCAGCAATGTAAATTATATTCTGGCCGGGTAATTTGTATGAATTTTATGAGCTAAAACAAATATCTTCAATAAATAAAAAAAAAAATATTCTTCACACACTATCTGTCAATCAAAGTACCCCACCTTTCCTCCCCCCCTCTTCCAACCGCACCAGATGGTCGGTCAGTCCCTCCCTCCCCCCACCCCCCACCAACCCTCCCTATCAGAGAAATGTGTGGGAGAAACCAGAATATTTACCTTTTTAGTAATAAATAATACCTCAGACTAAAGTTAGGATAATATAATTGACATTGCTGGATTCCTTGCAAGACCAGGAATATTTTGAATATACACCTCATATATTTTGCACAAAAGATAACATATTTGCTCTGAGCAAACAAAATACTTGCATTAGATCTAAAATTTGTATGTCTAATGCAAAAGCTATGATGCTTATATTCAAAATGATCATCAAATTGTAAGAATTCCAGCAATGTAAATTATATTCTGGCCAGATAATTTGTATGAATTTTATGAGCTAAATAAAAAAAAATTATACTTCACCCGCGTATATGAGTAGATGCACTGCTTAAAGTGGGAATTCCGGTTCTGGAAGGGTACCGCGTAAACGTGGAAACGCGTAATGTAATGTGGGACCGCGTAAAGCAAGGGTTGACTGTATATATATATATATATATATATATATATATATATATATATATATATATATATATATATATATATATATATATATATATATATATATATATATATATATATATATATATATATATATATATATATATATATATACTATATATATATATATATATATATATATATATATATATATATATATATATATATATATATATATATATATATATATATATATATATATATATATATATATATATATATATATATAGTTAACCCTCACTTTACGCGGTTAATGTAACCCGGAGGGTCCCGCGTAAAAGTGAGAAACGCGTAAAGTGAATAACATAACATATGGGATTAATTGAAATGGAGTCCGGGCCGATCCCCAAACTCCACTTTTTGACGACACACAACTATGTTGTAGTAAAAATATTATCTTAACTTTATGATGGTATGCACACACAATTAATAATTAAGAGAAATATCAATAATATTAGGTTTTTTAACACTTAGAAAAAATGGCTGGGCACACGGGGATGGGCGGTTGGTTCCGAGGCAGAGGGCAGATTATTGGCCCTCACCTGTGTCACTTGTATCAATTGTATCACTATCCACCACAGAGGCTTGCAGGGCCTCTTTGTCAAACTCCCCAAAGTCCATATAAGTCCATATCCTCACCATAATTATCAGTATCACTGACTTGGGCCGGCTGTGGTGGGTGGCGGGTGAAGAACTGGTAATGTTTTGATGACTGGGCGACCTTGTGCGCACCATGTTCGCGCAGCTTACACAACATGGCGGATGGCGGGAGGTTTGGATCCAAAAATGGCGCGGCTCTCCAGCCGCTCTCCGCGTAAAGGGGTACACGCACCACGGAATGTGAGCATCCTGGGTTCCGGCAGGGCACCGCGTAAACGTGGAAACGCGGAATGTGGGACCGCATAAAGTGAGGGTTAACTATATATATATATATATATATATATATATATATATATATATATATATATATATATATATATATATATATATATATATATATATATATATATATATATATATATATATATATATATATATATTGATCCCTCGGTTAACAAACACAATTCATTCCAGCTGGCCGTTCGTTAACCAAAAATTTCATTGAGCGAATCCATTGTTTCAGTGGGATATTGAGTAATTGGTTCCAGCTCACCGAAAAGTACATGCAAAGTAAAAAAAAATGCAGTAAAATACACTTACTTTGAGGTGTGTATGTAGAAGGCTCCTGGTTGTTGATGATGATGGGAATTAGAAGTGGGGGTGGAGGAGAAAGGAAAAGAGAAGGAAGTGGGGATGGAAGAGAAATCACCCCAAGCTTGATGTAATTCAAGATTATTTTCTTTAAATCAACACTGCACTGCACTATATATTGTCAATATGTTAAATAAATTTCAGAGTGACCAATAATTGAACTGTAAAAACATAAAATTACTCTGTATTCAAGAGACCCACAAGCAAGATGTTTCCTCCACTGAATAGAGATACAAACTGAGGCCTTGGTGGGTGAGTGAAGTGGCTGATGGGCGCACCATGAAACTAGTTCCCTGTACTGAAATTATGTTAAATAAGTGTTAAAGCGACTAATAATTTTAATATAAAAATTGGAAAAATATTGAATAACACAACCTTCTTGATATTTACTCCATTGGAAACGAATTTAAGCCCTAGAACCGATTACTGTATTGGCAAACTAATATTCCAGCTGGTGAGCAAGCGAAAACATGTTGACATTATTTCGTAAAAATTTCGTTAACTGAATTTTTGTACGTTAACCGAATTGAAGATTCTTATGGAAGGTAATTCATTAACTGAAATTTCGTTAACCGAGGCGTTCGTTAACCGAGAGATCACTGTATATATTCCTCATCTATGAATTCCGTTACTGGATGTTCACCCTGCCGGCTAAATTGGCATTGGCACAAGTAAGGAAGGCAGCTAAGATGATGGAAAAAGAGAGTTGGTGCCAGTACACATCCTTGTTTTACCCGTTTGGATGGGGAAGAACTCAGAGTGGGTGTCATTGTGCAGGACACTGCCGTTCATGCGCTCGTGGAGTTGCCTCACAATGGCAATGAATTTTGGTGGACAACCAATCTGCCAGAGGGCTTCCCCATTGACTAAGTTGAAGGCCTAAGTAAGGTTGATGAAGGCCATGTACAAGTCACGAAGCTATTCTCTGCCCTTTTTCTGTATCTGGCGGGCAGCAAAGATCATGTCAGGGGTGCCACATGATGGTCTAAAGCCACATTGAGATTCTAGGAGGAAGTTTTCTGCCTCTGGAGAAGTCTGTTTTGGAGGACTTGGGCAAAAATCTTGCCATCTTCAGTCTCAACCTTGGTATACTTTGTTCTGTTCATTTGACTCTTAGAGTACTTGTGTCACTTTTGTAAATAAACATCGCTGGATGCTACACTCATTTCTTTTTTGTCTTGGTCTTCTTTAATTGGTCCACATATCTCACTAAAGCGGTTAATGCTGCCACAGAAACATGCAGTGAATTCATTCCGCTCTCCAATTGAACTCAAACTAGCTGTGCAAGCTGGGCACCTGGCTGATGGTTCCTTTCGCCAGTGTGACCAGTGTGTGGAATGTACCGTTGACTTATTGCCTGTGGATGAAATGCTATTGTGGATTTATTACACCTAAAACTCTAGTGTGACCGTAGCTTAAGGGTTAATTGGGTAAATTGAGGATAGGAGAGGTAAGGGAAGGCAGAGACAGGGATAGTTGAAAATGATGAATTAAATTTAAAGCTGGATCCAAAGAGATCCAAAATCTGGTTGGTTTGGTTTAGATATGCTGAAATTTGTTTATTTTATATTTTTTTTTAGATAAAAGGCCATAATTCCTTACTCTTGAGATGTGAAGATTGAACTTTCATTGAATTAAAGATAAATTCAAATTTATCCTTAAAATAACTGTTTACTGAAGCTTCCTGTATATTTTTCCTGAATTAGAATACCTGTAGGGTTTTTAAATAAAAATATCTGGGCTGTGTATTTAAAAGTGTAGAATACTTACATGTTCTTCATATTTTGAAAGGAAATTTAAAAGATGCTGGGAGTAAGAATATGTTGGAAGCCGATTCAGTCTCAACCCTTTTTGCTCTGTACATGTTAGACTTCAATAAATGACTATATTATTAAGTTTTGGTGTAAAAGTGAATGACAAAACTAGTTTTTCAGTGAATGAAATGAAATATCTGTAGGCTGAGGATGTTGCAGTTTTGTATACCCAGGGTGTGCTCAGAAAAATCTGAGCGACTGTAATAGTTTAATTTCATTTTAGGCTGCAGTGTCCCAAAGATTTCTACAAAAAAAAATTTGTTGCTTACATTTGGCTTCATCAACCATTTCAGAGGAAGTACATCAGCTGAGACATCTGGGACAAATGATAACACAAATCATCATTCAATGCAGGAGATGCAGGAGAAAGTTTCTTCTGGTGCCGAGATGTTCCGCAAGTAAATAATATGCTTATGGTTTAGGAGGATGAAGTAGACATTGTTTTGTGCATTTATAAGGTTTAGCCTTTCCTTGAGTTCTATTATAGTAAATATTCAGGTTTCATATTGCTAACTTCTGTCATACTCTTTTCATACTTCCCTTTCTTCCACATGTTTATATGAGTGCCAGTATCTTTTTTATGTAAGTGAACCATAATTTATGTATATATTTTTTCATTGCATTGTCATTAGATTGGCACTTAACATTTTTTAGTACAGTCAACCCTCACTTTACGCGGTTAATGTAACCCACAGGGTACCGCGGAAAGTGAGAAACGCGTAAAGTGAAGAACATAACATATGGGATTAATTGAAATAGAGACCGGGCCGACCCCCAAACTCCACTTTTTGACGACACACAACTATGTTGTAGTAAAAATATTATCTTAACTTTATGATATCAATAATATTAGGTTTTTTAACTCTTACATTAGTAGAAAAGATGGCTGGGCACACGGGGATGGGCAGTTGGTTCCGAGGCAGAGGGCAGATTATAATCTGAGGGCCAATAATTATTGGCCCTCACCTGTATCACTTGTATCAATTGTATCACTATCCACCACAGAGGCTTGCAGGGCCTCTTTGTCAAACCCCCCAAAGTCCATATAAGTCCATATCTTCACCATAATTATCACTATCACTGACTTGGGCCGGCTGTAGTGGGTGGCGGGTGAAGAACTGGTAATGTTTTGATGACTGGGCGACCTTGTGCGCACCATGTTCGCGCCGCTTACACAACATGGCGGATGGCGGGAGGTTTGGATCCAAAAATGGCGCGGCTCGCCAGCCGCTCTCCGCATAAGGGGTACACGCACCGCGGAATGTGAGCATCCTGGGTTCTGGCAGGGCACCGCGTAAACGTGGAAACGCGGAATGTGGGACCGCGTAAAGTGAGGGTTGACTGTAGATTAAATTCTTAGATATTAGAGCAAGCTATGTGAAGATGTACACTGACTGTAGTAACATAACAGAGATTCTGCTTTGCTTCCTGGTGGAAGAGATACTATAGTAAAGTGAACCACCTTTCCGACAAAACAATTGTCAAACCATCCGGCAAATGTACAAAATATATTAAAACTATAAATAATGATATAAAAAACATCAAAAATAGAGTACCATATTTTACGGCATATAAGATGCATGGCCATATAAGACACACATCCCATTTTAGCAGGGAGTATTTAGGAAAAAACATTGTGTGTATTTTCCTCCTGTAGCCATAGTTTTCTTTAAATAATATACATATACAGTACCAGTAAATGTGAGGAATAAATAAAAATAAACCTATAAATAAGTTAAAACAAAAAATACTGTATTGATAAGCCTTAGCAACGGAGACTAGCTGGGACACTGTCTCCGCCGATTCCCTAGCAACGCTCCCCACTCCTTACACTGCACCCACCTCCTGCTCCCCCACTGAACCAGCTAACTAGTGTGCAAAGAAATGTATATTTCCTTTATGTGTTTGCCCTTAGGACAATTGTTTCTTTTACTTTTTCACAATACTGTACGTATGTAGGATGATGTGTGTATGTAACTGAGTAAAAATAAATGAAGAAAGTTACGTACTGTATATCTACCAGAAAATACGAGATGAAAAGCAACCATAACACATCACAGTTTGGCCCAGTAGCTTGGTGGTTACAGTGATGAGTCTGACCTGGCTACAATGCCGCCAGTGATGTTAACAGATGCAAATGTACTGGCACCATCAACATCATACTTCATTACAGACACGAGCCACAGATACACCAGACTCTAACTCCTTTATTTACTCTAGTTTCTGCACAACAGATAAATGTACAGTACATGCTTTCTCTTCACACCACCACTTGCATTAGATGCCATGATTAATCACAATTAAGCACTACTAATTATCAGTAAACACTAATAATAACAGTAAATCCAGTGAAATTTGGCAGGGAGCGAGGAGAGTTACAACAGCAAATGACGTGTTAACTAGCGGTCACTCATTCCCCTTGCTTGCTCCCGTTGTCAGGCATACAATCGAAGTATGGGAGAAATACATATCTTGTAGTCTAATTTGAAAACGGTGATGGACACAGTGATAAACAAATTATATAAACCATGCATTTACCTACGATAACATAATAAGAAACATTGTATCATTACTAGAGTGAATGAAATAATATTCTCGCAAACAACAATTGACAACTTTTTCAGGTTTCCCACCTCCTTGGGCACCTGTGTCCTGCACGCTGACATCTTAGTTACACGGGCCTAAGATGATCTTTGCTCTGTTTTTGAGAATGCTTCTTAGGGAGGCTTCTTAGCCCCGGAACCCAAAATTTTGTCCAAATCTTCCGAAATCCGGATTTTCCAGGTCTAGATCTTCAAGGGTTCACTGTATACAGTACAGTGGTCCCTCGGTTAACAAGCACAACCCGTTCCAGCAGGTTGCTCGTTAACCGAAACTATTGTTTCAATGGGTTTTTGGGTAATTGGTTCCAGCTCACCAAAAATTGCCTAAATTCAACAAAAAAGGTAGAAAAGTACACTTACTTTGAGGTGTGTATGTAGGAGGCTCCTGGATGATGATGATGATGATGGGAATTAGAATGGGGGTGGAGGAGAAGGGAGAAGAGAAGGCATTGGGGTGGAAGAGAAGTCACCCCATGGCACCATTTCACCCATAAAATTTTAGTTCTCTTGGTGTAATTCAAGATTATTTTCTTTAAATCAACACTACACTGCAGTATATATTGTCAATATGTAAAATAAATTTCAAAATGACCAATAATTTGCTTGGAAACAGAAAAATAGCGTTTAGTTGAAGAGAGTCTCAAGCAAGATGTTACCTCCAGTGAAAACAGAGAGAGACTAACGCCTGTCTGGTGTGTTAACAGGCTGGATGGCACGCCAGAAACTAGTTTCTTTAACCTTCAATTATGTTCAATAATTGTTAAAATGACTAAAAAAGTTAATATTAAACTTTTAAAATTATTGAATAGTATAAACTTCTTGATATTTACTAAAATAATAAGGAATTTAAGCCCTAAAACCGATTACTGTATTGGCGGACTAATACTACAGCTGGTGGGCCGCCAAATGCAAGCGAAAACATGTTGAAGTCGGCTCATAAAAAACTCGTTAATCGAGGGATTGCTCGTTAACCGAAGTTAAGAATCTTATGGAAGGTAAATCGTTAACCGAAATCTAGTTAACCGAGGCGCTCGTTAACCGAGGGATCACTGTACAGTATATAGTTGAATATCGACATAAACTTTAGTAACCTCACCACCAGCCCAAGGTACAAGAAACCACACCATCCAAAATTTTTTTACCCAAAACAAATGAGTACATTTGCAAATGTTGTCAAAGAGGAACTGAAGGAGTTCAAAAAAGATCAGGGTGGTACTAAAGAAGTGAGTGTGAAAATTAATGATTTGGGCAGGGATAGGACAGTCCACACCCTGCGTGTTAAGTGATTGATTGTGGTAATTACATCCCTGGCGACACAACAGCTTAGGTCATATGCCGCTGAATTACCGTATATCTCGGCCTATAAGGCGTCGGGGTGCATAAGACGGCCCCCCCAAATTTCCATTTAAAAAGTAGCTTTTGAGCTCTATTTGCTGTATAAGACCAGTACCCCAAATGTGACACTTACCCACTGACTCAGTAGTCCTTTACCAACCATCCTTGGTTTTTTAAAATAAGGCCAATTCACTTCAAGTACAGTTGGTCCTCGTATTACTCGGTCCCGCATTCCGCGTTTCACCGTTAACTCGGTGCCTTGCCAGAACCTAACATTTTCACATTCCGCGGTCGTGAACCCCATTACGCGGAGAGCGGCTGGCAAGCCGCGCCATTTTTGGATCCAAACCTCCCGCCATCCGCCATGTTGTGTAAGAGGCGCGAAAATGGTGCGCACAAGGTCGCCCAGTCATCAAAACATGACCAGTTCTTCACCCGCCACCCACTACAGCCGGCCCAAGTCAGTGATAGTGATAATTATAGTGAGGATATGAACTTATATGAACTTTGGGGGGGTTTGACAAAGAGGCCCTGCAAGCCTCTGTGGTGGATAGTGATACAATTGATACAAGTGATACAGGTGAGGGCCAATAATCTGCCCTCTGCCTCGGAACCAACCGCCCATCCCCGTGTGCCCAGCCATCTTTTCTACTAATGTAAGTGTTAAAAAACCTAATATTATTGATATTTCTCTTAATTATTAATTGTGTGTGCATGCCATCATAAAGTTCAGATAATATTTTTACTACAACATAGTTGTGTGTCGTCAAAAAGTGGAGTTTGGGGATCGGCCCGGACTCCATTTCAATTAATCCCATATGTTATGTTATTCACTTTACGCGTTTCTCACTTTCCGCGGTACCCTCCGGGTTACATTAACCGCGTAATATGAGGACCAACTGTAATGTCATCAAATGTTACCCGCTGGTGTAGTGTAAACACTAGTGACGTCACTGAAGCGTCTGCTATTTACCGGTAACTGGAACTAATGTCTGTGTCGAATAAAATTTTTCCATTTACTTGAAATATATATATATATATATATATATATATATATATATATATATATATATATATATATATATATATATATATATATATATATATATATATATATATATATATATATATATATATATATATATATATATATATATATATACACACTAGACCCCGACTTACGACGGGGTTAGGGACCCAAATCCAGGTCGTAAGTCCGACATGGTCGTAAGTCCGACATAATAAAAAAAAAAAATATTTAATAAAAAATCTACAATGAAATACAGTACAGTAAAAGTAATGAATAATGATGAATGGATACAGTACAGTGAAAGTAATAAATAATAAGGAATGGATACAGTGTGACTGAGCACTTAACCTTTAATGTAGTCAGCTGAATGCACATGGGGCCCCCATAATTTTCTAATTATACATGGAGACTACATTAACTGGAAACGTTT